GTAAGCAAATACTATGGGTATTTTTTTAGCTCTTTTCTTTGTCTTCCCAGTCCATTAATATCCACATGTATTTAAGTTAGCAAACCAAGGATTCCTTTATTTACATTCTCTTACCCAATATTTTTGTGTTTTTAGAGTACTTACGCCAGTTTAAATTTCATTCATTTATTTAGTTTGTTTGCTTCTATGATGATAGAAATGAATTCAGAAAAACATTGAGGAGAGAGAAGGGAGTGAAGATCAAATTTGAATTGGATAACAATAAGACCAACTGTTTTTATCCAGGCTTTCATGTTTTCACAGCATATTATTAATATTAATTGGTTTCAGATGCATAGATATGCCCGTCCCTTATTTTAAATTTTTGTTTCATAAATAAATAACCTTTCATTCACAAATAATGAAAGTTCATTCATTTTTCAGTCATCATTAAAGGAAAAAGGGAAGAAATTACTGGTGCCTCTGCATATGAATGTAGCTGAAATTCCAAACATAAAGGAATGAGATTGTGTGTTAGTTGTTTTAAGGGAATAATACTGTTAAAATTTAAATTGAATAGACAAACCATGTATTGATGTAAATCGTGGATATGTATTTGTGCTTTTCCTTCTTTGTATTTAACTACCTACCACTTATGTATGAATTTGCTTGTGGTGAAGCTTATTTAAATTAATTAAAGCATTGTGTTGCTATGCATGCAATTTTCCTGATTTATAGCTTTTGTACGTCAATGTATTATTTTTAGGGGTTTTATTGAAGACTTTAAATTAAAAGCAGTTAGATGAAAATAAAATAGAAATTACTAGGGGATATCTCTGCAATTAAATCACACAGGAAGTTTAAAGCTGAATTCTTTTACTTGTTTGGATATTTATCTATTCAGACAGGAAAGGGAATGTGTTCTGTCTATAATGTATCCTCTCCCTAGTCTAGCCTGCCCTGTCTAAACACCGATACTCACCCTGCTTCTTGCCACCGTCATTGCCCTGTGCTGATAACAACATATCAAAAACAATATTTTTTTCATATTTTTAATGTTTATATAACATACACAAAAATATAAACTACATGTGCAGACGCTGGGCTTCTCCAGCTTTCCAACACCTTATTTGCTGAGATTGACCGAGTTCATCTGAAAAAAGGATGTTTACATAACGTGTTTTAGAAAAAATATACATGATTCACTAAGTGTTTATTTGACGCATCATGATTTTTAACGTCAACCAATTTCAATGTCATCAACGAACAACTTCCTCCACATCTTCAGTTACAATTTCTATAAGAAACATTTAAAAGTGACATAATAATACTTTATTGATAAATACATTGAATAAAAATTAGAGAAAAGAAGAAACATTGAGCCAATTTGTGAAGAGGCTATATGTTCAAATGACACATCTTCATACAAGTCATAACAGCAATAACAACATAAAATGACATGAGGTCATAGCCAAAACATTATTTTTAAACAAACTCCTAACTAGGCATGTGAAGCAAATAGTTGATACTAAATTCAGTTTACTAATAAGGGAAGTAAGATAGCCTTGAACATCAGCATATTCAGAAGAGGAATGACATGTGGGAACAGCTGTAACTCAAGGTAAACAAAAGTACTAGGAAAGGGTAATGCAAATCAACCTTTGCATGTCATCATCGTGAACTGCAGGTGTTTAGGTATGATCCTGTTGCTGTTTTGGTGCTGGTTCAGTAGACCTAGTGGATTAATCTGCCCATTTCTTTGAAGGTCTTCCAGTATCTCTGTTTCCAATTGATTTATATTTCCAGATTGAGTTTTGGTAGTCTGTTAGTCTCCATTCAGCAAATATGTTCTTTCCATCTCATTTGTGATTCTTCAATATCTTTTATTAGATTTTTGATTTTCTTCTGATGTCCTTATTTCTCAACTCTCTTCTCGTGACTCATAAGAGGTGCCTTAGAAATGTCATTTATACTACCTGTATTTTGTGCTTGTGGTTTTCCTGCATTATCCATGTTTCTGAACCATATAGAAGCATTAGTTTAGTTGTGATGTTATGAAGTTTCAATTTTGTGGTAGAATCCATATTCTTTCCAAAGTGTCTTTTAATGGTTCTACACATTCTGTAGTAATTATGTGGCTTTCTTTCGATGTATCCTTGAATGAACCCTGTGCAACTTTTGATAGTTTGAAAATTGCTATTCTGCTACTATTACCTGGAACTACCTGCTTGAATTAAAGGATGTGGGATTTTCTCCTATTCCAAGATTTACCATAATTTCTTCCTGGAAAACATATGACAGAGTTGATACTCTGTCATATGCTTTTTTTGTATTCCTAAATATTACAAATGTAGGTAGGTTTACTTCTTTCCTTTTTATCCATGAGCATTTGTAATTTGAAGATTGCCGTACATCACATGACCAAAGATGCCAATTTTTGGTGCTTTCTAAAGCCACACTGTTCCTCGCCCAGAAATTTCTCACTTAATTCATTGACTCTGTTCCTTAAGATATTTGCATAAATCTTTGAAGTTATTGATAGTAATGAGATTCGCTTGTAGTTGTTGCAGTCTTTGCTAAGCTCTATTGATGATTAGTCCTTCCTGCCAATCTTTTGGTATTTTTGTTTCTTGCCATATTTTATTGAAAAGTACAAGTGGGGTTTCTTTTAGTTTCTTTCCCCTAATGCTCTCTAATTCTCTTCTGTACCTTCAACTATGTTGTCTTAATTTGGCACTTACTTTCTTGTATTCTATGTAACATTTTAATGTTTGTTTTTGCAGGTAGGTCCTGTATGCTTGTTTCTTCATGGGCTATTATTTCTTTAATTTCACTGTCTAATTTCTTCTTCTTGTGAGGCTTTATCCCCACATTTTCCATCCCTGCATAAAGTATTGCTTGTTTAATTGAATTCCAGAGCGTTTCAATATCTTCTTTATTTTCTGAAATTTGTCTTCTAATCTTCTTTCAAAAGTGTTTCTAATGCTTTCATCCTCTAGCAGATATACTTTGAGCTGGGTGGTTAATTTTGTCTCCTTTCTTCTATTTTCAGGTTGCGAGTTCACTTAAATTTTGCTTTCTAAAAGATGGATGGGAATTAATTTGCTTTCCCAAAACATTTGTCTTTTTGACTTTATTGAATAGGTTTTCACTGACAATTATATAATCAATAAAGGATTTCTTGCCTCCCAATTTATATTTTTTGGTTTATTTAAAGAAGCTATTAGTGATTCTTAGTTTGTTAAACAGTCAGAAGTTTCTAGGTGTTTTTCTGTTTTCAATGAGTGTCTTCTCCCCTTCATGTCCTTTGCATGGAGGCATTTCGGTTTCTCTAATTCTGGCATTGAGATCTCCCACTACGATAAGGAATTCCTCCTTGTTGGTCATATCTACCATTTCTGTAGCTCTTTATAGAAGCTAATCGTTTCTTCTCTCCTTCCCTCTACTGGTGCGTATACTCCAATTAAATTCAATATGTGAATTCCTATTCTTATTGTTATTAGTCTTGGACTCCTCCATTCCTTCTTGATTAGCAGTGCTACTCCTATTGCAGCATGTTCTTGTTCTTTGACACCTGAGTAAATAAGATAGTAATCTTCTAGTTCCTTTGTATGTGGTATTAAAAATCGTGATGTGTCAAACATACTATGAATAATTTCTATTTTATTTACATCTGATTATGTATAATTAAAAGACTGATATACTCAAAAAGTTAGATTAGGCAATCACTTTAAATCAATTTAAAGTCAATGTATAATATGTACCAATAAAGTATTGTAGTGTCGAACAATGTCTTGTTGGTTCCACTGCTTTTCTTTGGTTTGTTCAGGATACTAAAATGAATGTAGTCAAAATTAAAGGTCCAATTTATAGATGTACTAATATAAATCACAAAGTTTATTTGACAATGAACTTTAGGAACACAAGTCACTGATAAGCTCAACTACTGCAGTTTCTGGGTGTGTTGCAATTGTACCTTGTAAGTGCTGATAGATCATTGTGATTGGAAGTGATTTGGTGAGGTTCAAAATCCAGGGTTATTTTCTGAATCTAGATTTTGTGAAGGTCTTCTCATCAGCTTCAGATGATTTCTTTTGAGCTAGGTAGCTCTGACCTGTGGACTTCATATTGCTTTCTAGTTACCGTGACAAAATCCATTAAAATTATAATGTTTCAATGTTCGGGTGAGAGTTACCAACTATATTTTTGCTACTTTACTCTGTTTCTAATAAAGACATTTGATTTTGAATTTTTGGTCAAACACAGCTCTTTGGATTTTTATCTCCAAGAAGGGAGTTAATTGAGTTGGGGAAGTTTTTAATTTAATTTTCATTCTTAATACCACATTTAATTATCTCTTTTAAAAACAAGATTAATTAGAAATTTTAATATAGAGATTAAGCTATTTTCTTCAAGATTTTTGCTAATATAGAAGCATAGTTTAATAAAGTTAATACACTGTTTGGAACAGATTCAAAAGTAAGAAAGCAGGATACTTAAATTCATAGAGAAATTTGAATTATTTTTAGGTTTCCCATTTCTGCAATGTATCTTTCCTAAACTAATTTCATCTTTGAATATTTAATGTTTTTATATGTTCTGTTGCAATAAGATCTCTGAAAAAAGTCTTTTAATCTGCCATTTTGCATACACTATACAGGCTGTAAGGAGTGCAAATTATTCTTTGCTTATAGTTAGAAATGTCTGAGCTTTCCCAGTTATTTGTTTTGAAGAATTGGATTACTTATGATTAAAAGGTATGTTCATGCACTTTTACGACATAGGGACACTACTTTGCAAATGTTTGGTACAAGTATAGAAAAGGATGAAGTCTGCTCTTTGATATATTTATGTTTTTTAACTGTGTAAAAGTCGTACAGGAACACTATAGCAAATGGTGCCAAACCAAACATTCTTTTGCACTAAATATTGAATCTAGGTAACATTAGTGAAAATGTCAGCTGTTTAGTAATAATAAAATATAATAATAATAATAATAATAATAATAATAATAATAATGTGTTCAGTGGCTATCAAGGCCAAATACGCGAAATTATGAAATAGGAAATAATATATAACAAATTTGTTCATTCTGTATGTTTATAGACACTTTGTAAAGATATCTTGCTGCTGCCTCCCAAGTACCCTCATGTTGGTTTTGAAAAACAATGTTCACTTTCGCCCAATAAGCTGTGTTTAAAAAACATGGTAATAACTCCCACTTTCCATTAACAGCTTTTTTGGTAACTCAGTTTGTAATGTGGCAGTGTTGGGAAACTATCCGATTGTAATAGAATGTAAGGACTTGTACGTAAAACATTCATGAATTTTGTAGGTTAGTGTGAACTGCAAATATCAGCTAAAGGAGCTCTTTCGAAATATACTTTTTCCAAAGTCGCTTCATGTTGTTATATTAGGGAATCAGAAAGGAAAGTTCTATTTACAAGTGAAAGAAATGCAAAAATTAATTTAATGACAAATTTCAGAAATAGCAACTGGTTTCAACAAATGTATATTCATAATTCTGAAATAAAATTTGAAAATTTTAACTATCACAAAATACAGTACAACAGTAACAACAACATCAACAATAATAATTGCAACAACAATTTGAAGAAAATGTTATATTATCAATACGAAAAAACATCTTTTATCATTTATTAAAACTTTGATAATTGAAACTTGAATTAAAAATCGCAAGAGAGCAAGAGAGAAAGTGATGCATGCTAGTTGAATGAAGACTTGAGCATTTGGTTATTACCAACTTGATATTCCGAATTTTTAATATTTAAAATGGAAAGAATTGAACAATACAGAGCAGTTGAAATGAAATGATACAGCATTTAACACATAAAGTGGACCTACACATTTCTCATTGGACCCTCTTCAAGTATTTTCTTACCATTTCACTCATTTCCCAAATCAATATGTTTGACATTGCAACCCAGATGTGAATTACTGAAGTATTTAAAAAATTCAGTGCAATTACTTTTAACATTGTATGAATGAAAAATTGTAATGAAAATTTCCCAGTGCACAACAAATATGGCTCATAGACTGTATCCAAAATTGCGAATCCATTTCAGTCCAACAGCAGTGGCTTCGAGTGGTTTATATTCGAGACCAATCCATCCATTGTACCCATTCTTTTCAAGGACAGAAAAAACATATTGGTAGTTAATTTCTCCATTAGTATCTGGTTCATGTCTGTGAGGCACCTGTGCTATCTGGATGTGACCTTTAACAGACAATTCAAGATTATTTGCTACAAAAACATACTTAATTAATTAATTATACTGATACAACAATTACTTGATATTAATATTCAAAAGAAATGTGATTTTACATACCAACATAAGGTAGAAGATCCTCAATATTATGAGTTAAGTTTCCTCTCAGATGTTGAAGATGAAACAAATCCATCATTAGCTTCAAATTTGGGCTGTTAATCTTTTTGACCAATTCTAAACCTAAATAATCAAAAAATACTTTTATAACACAATTATATAAAATATCTCAAACATTAAGTTTCTATAACTAACACTATTTTGAAATTTAATACATGATTTAGAATGCTGTTTCAGCGGGGACTTAATATAAATATCTCCATAGTTAAAGATGTTCATTTGGAGACTTGAGACTTACACTGTTGTAAAAACACATCTGGTGACATGTGCTCTTACCTTTTTCATAACTGTTCATGTAATACTTTGGCACAGAATATGGATTTATTGGTTCAATTAGTCCAACAATATTTTCCTTCTCCAACAGTGATGTGGCGTATCTAATATTTTTTTCATACGTATCAGCATTTTCTCTTGTAACATCTTCTACCCGTCCTGACATAATGTGTATTCTGAAATTAAACATTTTTTTTAATGAAGCCATATTGTTTACCTAGTGTATATAAACAAGAGAATTCTTAAATTTTGATACTATGTGAAATATGAGACCATTTACTATTGAGTTGGTGATAATGGATGGTTCTCTTTTGTTGAATCTTATTTTGAAAACAAGAATATCCTAAATAATGGAATGAGGTAAATTAAGAATAAAGGGAACACACATATGAACAATCAAAGAATTTTAGTCATAAACTATTAATCCACAAATCAAGCTTATATTTGAAATAATAAATGTAGTATTAACCTGGGACACTCAAGAGCTTTTGCATATTTTATAGCTAATGAAATACTGTTTTTAAATTCTTCTTCTTGTCCTGGCAAGGCAGCGAATCCGAGTTCTCCTTTAGTCACATCACCTTAAACAATTTAGAAGAATATTCCTATGTGATTACAGTAATATCAAAAACAAACATTGGAGACATTTTTAAGTTCCCTCTACAACTTCATAACAGAGGTCATTATAACCTTGTAAAATTAACGTAGGTGTTGAAAAGATTGAATGACATCAATCTCGAACTTACCAACAAATACGTTGATTAAAACTTGCTCCACACCCGCATTTTTCTTAGCGGCTACAACATCCTCAGTCGAAAAGTCGTACGGAAAAGCGCATTCAACAGCACGAAACCCAGCCTGTTTAGCTAAACCGTACCTCTCCAAGAGAGATGCAGTTTCTTGAAACATAAAAGAAAGGTTGGCACAAAATTTCAGCGGCATCTTCGACCTCTATTCACAAAACGTAGCGTTCGGAGAACAACCTTCTTCTGCTTCGATTTCCTATCTAAACGTTGCCGTTAACGTTATCAAGCTACGTAAGCATATTATATCTTCTGTAAACATTCAAGAAGATTTTTTTCAAGATTTGACGTAACACAGATTTAAGAATGTCATTTCAATTCTGGATCACACCTGTTGACTTCCCATTCAGCAAATGACACGATCCTCGTTCCTATTTTGTCTTTTGAACCACAAAAGTTGATGAATTCTGCGCACTCGCGACTTGCCTACGGAATCACTGAACCCTTCACTCGACACAAAACCATCAGCTTCATTTCAATAAATAATGATAATATACAATCATTTTACGTTGAAATACATGAGATCTAACCGGCGTGTAACCTATAAATATATCTTGGTAGCAGAACCTATAATAATGTAATAACTTTCAGGTACGATTTCACATAACGCAGGAAATGGACGTCGTATATTTAGTATAGTTTTATTACACCAAAATGAAATGCTCATCCCTATTCTGTCACTCTTGGCTTTTCCCTCTGCCCTGTCTTTCACGAACTTTCATCAATCGATTGTAGGAGAGTTTCGAGAGGTCGAATGGGACTTCAGAGCGCGGGAACAGAAAATGAACATAGGCCACAAAAAATGATGAGATAAAGACTGCTGTAAATAGACCAAAATCACGATCAAGATAGTAATATTACTATCACTACCAATAAAATGTTGTACGAGCAATGTTTTTTTCTTCAAATGGGGTATTGCAAAAATATACGTGAATGAAGTTCATATTTCAGAACCTCTTTTTGGATGATACGAATATCTCACAACCAGATCCACTATCCACTATCCACTAAATGTTTGTACAAGTGGTTGCTGGTTGGATGGGTCTAGTCTATACACTATCTTATAGCTTCTTTTATAAGCTTATCTTTTCGTTAATGGGTCATTCCTAGCAAAATTTCATGTTTTCTGACAGTGAGTCTTGGATATTTTAAATACAGTAGAATGTTTAAGTTATAACAATAAGCAGTTAACAACTAATTTATTGAATTAATAACTTTATTAGTTTAGCAACAATTCCGGGATAAATATGGAGAGTGATATCAAGTACTCAACAATTTTTTTTAAAAAAAAATGACGTTCACAAAATGTTTGAAACCTCAAAGTCACTGTTTTAAACATAAATCAACTTGTTGTAAGTAGTTGACAATATTTTGCATAAAAAGGCATTTGCTAGTAATTAAAACTGCAAATAAATTAAAAACACGTATCTTGAAAATAAGTATTTTTCCTTTTTGATTTTTGTATACTCTAAGAAGAAACAATTATTAACCATTGTGTCAACTGTCGCGATGGAATCTTAAAAAAAATGCGTACTAAGTTATGAAATCAAAACTGCATTCAAAGGATAGAAGGGTAGAAACTCGCGTGCATTTCTTAGAGGGGTGAGGCAAGATAGTACGCAAGGAACCAGCAGTCAACGTAGTTTATTCGCTAGGGATACCCGGCAATCCCTTCCAGAATCTATCCCATTGCCTTGTCTATTTATTTACGAATCTGTAATATTTGTCAAAAGTGACTTAACGGCGGGAACATATTTTCATGTAATACTGATATGATTACCACACACACCGTAGAAACCACATTAATCAGGTGTCAGCATCAACAGCTCACTACCAGAAATTAACATACAATACATGTACGTTACTTTACAACGCATTGACAGATGACATTAAACAATTGAAGTCGGTACACAAATTTAAGTTAAAAGTAAAATCTTTTCTGCTGCGTAACTTACACTTTACTTTCTGAAGTAGTGTTTATAAAATCATTGGTTCAATATTTTTGTTTCATACTTAAAATGTTGTTTATTTTTACTCTACATCGTATTTTGGAAAATATTGACAAATATTGATTAAAATATTGTATTATATAGAACGTACTACCTCTACTTTTTTCTTGTTTTGGTCATGTTTTGATTAGCAAAGCAGGGGTGTCCAAATAGCAAGGCTTCAAGAGCCACAATTAAAACCTTTAATCTGGTTGCGGGCCATATTTTCATTACTCGGGCGATCCAAACTTGACATATCCGTTTTGTTGATCTCGGCACTTTACCCGGATGCTCTGAAACGGGGGGGGGGGGCACTGGAACCATGCATGATATTAGGCAGCATACCTTGCATACTGCAGTGAAACACTGGGATTATTTCGAATTTACTAGAAAACATTTTTTTTGTTATTTAAGGTCACATCAACATCTAGGTCATTAGCTACCAATATTGCGTTTAACGGCACGGTAACTGTGAAGATAGTATGATATGGTGATGATAGGGGGTGATAGGACGAACACAACACAACCATGCCCGCGATCCTTCGGGTCCGAAATCGCTACGGCACTACTGCCTTGACGATTTCGGCCATGCGGACCGGCAAAGAATATCGTTAAATCTAAACTTAACATGCTATTACATTAAGGGGGTGGTTGACCCCGGCAGCGCGCGTGAACTAGGCGTTCTCACTCGACATGGATGCAAGGGACTTTCACTTTTGACTAATAACCTTTTGCGGGCCACAATAAATGGCCCGCGCGCCGCCAATTGGACAACCCTACCCTAAGGCAAGGTTCTGTAGATAATCCGTGCGAGTAAACACGTCCCTTTGGAACGAAAGCGCGACGGAGCTGTTCCTCTCTTTTCACCATCGATAAGGCACCATTTTCAATGCGCTCTAGGGCCGAAACCAGGCTGTTCCCACTCGGCTGCCCGCGAACCACCGCGGGCACAAACTGCTGTCAACACTCGCAGCCGGCGCCTGGCGAAATGTAAGCCCTTGGGCGACATTCGTCGCTGGTAGCCGAAGCAGGGGGTGCTTGAACTAATTTTAGATATCTCTTTTTATTAACAAGAGATGCAATATCTCGTATCAGTCCTTGGGCGGTTATGATGCGTAGAACGCTCTTCAATGTCATGTCAAGTTGGTTCTTCCTTTGCTTTTTATTATTTTCACTGCAGTGAAAGCTGCTCATAACAATATGTTTACCCAAACATAGATATAAGGTGTTTCTTCGCTTGGGAAAGACTGCCACAAGTAAATTCTGATACCTCCGCGACAAATTAAGTGCATTAAAATATCTGTCTTTTAGAAGTATGGTGCTAGCTATTCTAACTCTCCTCATCCTCTTGTCAACTGCCACCTATCGTCGACCAAAGTACATTTTTTGAAAATTTATCAATTTTTCGGTTTTCTATTAGTAGAACCAAATTATTACTTTAAGAATATTAAAGAACAGTAAAACCTTGTCCTAAATGGGAATTTTTGTTGAACAATTTGTAGCCGTTTTTAAGAAAATGGCATTTAAGCATTACTGCGAATACGAAATTTGAACAGCTTTTCACAGAAAAATATTGAGTTTTCGTAAAACTTCAAGCCATTTGGAGCACTTGAACTTGCAAATGCAACAGTGTTTACAAATGGCTGGAAATGTGCTGGAGTGTGAGATGTTAAAAAAAAGTACTTTTTTAAAGAAACAAAAGAATACAGCAAATGAACCTTATGTCATAGTAAACACTGCAAATAGCACTATTCGTAGGAAAAGTTTGAAGGAAAAAATGAACCATTTTTGAGAAAACGGCGTTTGAGCGTTTCTAAAAATGCCGAATTTTGAGCTCATTTTCACAGAAAACTAGAGTTTTCGAAAAACATTATATGGCATTCTTTAAAGCACATGTACTCGTAAAGACAGTAATTTAAGTAAAATGCCGCTAATGTAAATATTAACGACCTGAGAGACATGTCACAAAATTATTTTTTTGTAATTTTTGAAAGAAAATAAAATAATATGGCATTTATGTAATCTTAGAGAGTGCATTTTGCACTAACTCTACCAAAAGTATGAAGAGAAAATTTGTAGCCGTTTTTTGAGAAAATCCGGTTTTTGTAATTTTTTAAAATTGCAAATATTGCGGGAAAACTACTAAAAGTTTAAAAAGAATGTACTAGACCTTAATGGAAGAACTAAATATGAATAGCAATTTTATTAGAAGGAAAATTCTCTATCGTCAATTTTGCAGTTGGAAGTCGCTGAAAAAAGTCTAACTTTTGTACCGAAAATTCAAAGCTAACGGTAAAAATCGGACATATGCCACCTTTATAAGTGTATTTTATTCTTTTCTTACAAGAAATTTAAAGAAAAAATTTCGAGCCATTTCTGAGAAAAAATTGAAAATGTCCTATGGGCTTAATGAAAACTACCCCCAATAATTTATGAATGTTTTTCAAAATCGCAGACCTCGACTCAAAAACAACAACACTTTATCGGTATCAGGCGACTCCAAAAAGTATATTTTCGTTGAAATCTCGAAATCGATATTCCGAAGCATTATAGGACTTTCCCTACACTACATATATTAACTCCGTATATAGTGCGTATACGAGAAAGTAAAAAGAGTGTAACATTTTTTCGTTTTTTGTAATTTTCTCCGTGAAGCCGGCCGTTTTGGAGGTGGCAAATATAAAATACGAATTCAGCTCCCCCTAAAACATAAAACAGTTGAGAAAAACTACCGGAATTTTTTCCAGGCCCTTTCGAGCTTCAGGTAAATGGAGTAGGACACTTTTCAGTGGGTGAAAATTTGATTTTGAGCTCATAAAATTGGGGAAAATCGCTCAGCAGACACGTCGCTCTATCCCTTTCGTTTATCCATGGCAAGTTACGTCACTGGAAAAACAACTGACTTTACATGTCGCTAGGAAACCATTGACGGCTTCATCACGTGACTGAAACATCGCATGATGCAACAACGAATCTAAGTAACTAATCTCCGTAGTTACTAATCTTTGTACTTAAGATTGGAATCTTAACTGTCGAGTGTCATTAACCTCACAGTTCAATCTTATCATCGATGTATTCTTAAAATTGGGGAAAATATCTACAAGATTGTGTCACTTCAGGAGGACTTGCCTCTTGAATGAACGTTGGCTCTGTATCTCTTGCACATTTACGATGGAGAAATGATAAAGAGACTGAGACAGAGGATACGTACTCGTCATCTAACATAGAAACATTTTGAATGTATTTCGACATGTCAGTTTCTTCATAGCGACCACGTTTGATTTGATGTTTTTGCCACTTACGTTATTAGCGTGTTATAAAAGAGGAGTGTACAATTTCGGATATTTCAGTTTTATAAGAGAATAAATTCAGGAAAACCTCTTTTTATTTATTGTATTTATGTAACGTCAAAAAAGTATAGTCTCTGTGATGTACTGTGTGGAGAATAACAAAACATACGCGGTTTCTTGAGCTCTGGGATGCCCGGTCTAATTCGTGTACATAAGTTGAATTATGAATACATGTAGCAACGAGCGTTTTGGGCAAGAAATAATATGAAATTATTCGCTTTCGTGTAGTAAAATCTATTTTAAAAGGCAAATCAACTACATATTTAGGCTATTATCTCTAATCTTAATGCTTGTTAGAGATATATATTTTAGTCTTTTAGAGTTATACATTAAGTAACTAATTCGTTAGATATCATTGTTAAAACCAATGTTATTTTCCTTTTTGGTGCTCAGTATAGTAT